CCCCAGTTGTTAAAAATTCATGCGAAGATCAACAACGGAAGGCACAGTATAAACTCTTGAGTATTCGTGGCAAATCCATGTCGAACATTAGGGTAGCCAAAGACTCTTCAAAGGATAGGAAGGGGTCAGAAGCACACAGAAAAAAAGACAAACTCAATCTCGACGGACAGGGAGGAGGTAATAGGCAGGATTCGGCTTAGTGGCTTCTTCAAATTCGATTATAGTATTTTGGTTTGAATGTGATTTGACGAGAAAGGTGGGCGCGTTCACAGAGAAGCCGATGAATGCCACGACGTGATTCTTCCTTCGTGCGCATTTCACATGGAAGGAGCCGTAACACCGTTATACCATCAATAATAGATCCTTGCATTGTTGATTACTGCAGAGCCTATTGTGTTTCGGGAGTTATTCTTGAACATACGATACATGAATATACGATTCGTCCAATGTAAAGCAACCTGAAATCCCATCGTTCCAATTCACTTTTTGATAGTTCTTTGTATACTGGCGGGGAATAATCATGAAAGTAGGGTACTTTTAAAATACCGAATCAGTGGAAACTCTCATCACTCGGGCAGAGCCATCTTTAGATCAAGCATTAATCCTAAGCCCAGTGAGAAGTAAAATTCTTCATCTTGTGCATTTATATTCCACTGCAATTGGATTGAGGAAGAATAGGGGAGAACTAAACTTTCTTCACCGTTGGCCCTGTAATATTGACTCTGAGCCCGTCACTCCGGCAGAGCCATCCATGGGAAAGGTTCGCAGCACATACTCCGAGCAGTTCTTATGCTGCCGAATGGAAAGGGTCTAGCCCCGCCCGTTTGTTCCTCTCTATTCTGGTAGCCGTAAAAAAAGTTATGCGGCTGCAAAATCCTTTCCCTTCAATCTTCTCATCATTTTCCATCCTTTTTTAAGGCATATAATATACTGCATGCTTCGATGCTTAGGGTTTGATTGACATTAGTATAATACAGTGCTTCTCAACCTTTTTTTCTCAACCTTTGTCGCGGCACACCGGTTGCGAAGCACCGGTCTAATAGACAATAGGCAAGCCCTGGCAGTCACCTCGACTTCGAGGCATCTTAATCATAAAACATCCTGAGAACATTTTTCAACTTTGAACTTACAGTCGAACGTTCAAAAGGCCCAAGACTTGTACTTGCATCGTTGCAACTTGAGTTAGGATCTTTCGAACATTTTTTTTCCAGAATAGAAGCGGAAGCTCGATCCCTGAAAGGGTGGGTGAGGGAGGAAGGAGGGGCCTAATGGGAGAGGGGGTTATTATTATTTTATGAGAAAATAAACATTTGATTCATTTAGTTTGAGAAGCACTGTCGGAACAGATATAATGCCTGTGTAAGGTTTAGATATTATTCTGGATACTTACGAGGGTTAAACTTCGACGGCAGCGTTTCGTAAGTCTACAGTGCAGCTCCGATAAGGAAAAGTTCCTTAAGTCTAAGTTAAAGGGTTAACACAATCAGCAAGCCCACCTGATTCAAAGTCAAAATAATTAGGAAATCCAATAAGTCTGGCCTCATCAATTAATCCCTTCAATGGTTCCGAAACTTGCCCGCCCCCCTCCCCCCAGCCCAACCGCGGCCAATATTCACCGTTTCAGTAAAAACTAGATGCTCTCTTCCCACGTTACACGCATTACACGTTACGTATCTAGGCAAATTTCGTATCCCCACTCGGGAGAGTACGTGAAGCGTAGTCACTGCGATCAAAGCACACTGGGGGGACAATGCACCAAAAACGGTGGCACGGAAGGGGGCTAATCGATACTTCTGCCGAGTCTTGCTTCGTAGTGTTCCTAAGTCATATCATTATTCTACAGTCTTTCGATTGTTTCCAAGCGCTCTTTCTAGATATACAGCAACTTCACAGATAAAACCATGATGCGCATTTGAGTCTTGCATGTCATCAGATAAAGATCCGCCTCAACGAAGGCCTCGCGAGTTATCAGCGTTACTCATCTCTCGGCTAGAAGCGTTTGGGAGGGGTGGATATAAAGGGCCTTTCCATATCGCATTCATATGGTAACCCCGTCTCCAACAACGAATCGAAAACCTATTATCAGGAGAGCATAAGAAAGATGCCATCTCCTCTCCGCGAGTGATATGAAGGCAAGAAGAGGAATAGGAGTATTTAACATATGCCTTCCCGCGAGCTGTGGGATCCATGCAATAACTCACTCCCAATCGGTAACAGTCGGTTGGAACGAGATCTCTTCCAGTCATCTGCCAAATCCCACGACTCTGTGTACATGCACAAAGAAAACAATTTGAAAAAAATCAGAGCTCGGGATTCAAGGGAAAGACTAGGCCTATTTCATTTTCAGTCGAGGTGCCTACGCGGAAGATGGAGGGATTGATAACTTGCCTATTTGAGATGCTATCTACTGACCTATCTACTGACCGTTGATTAGATATTCGATTTCATGCAGCCCTCATTTTCACAGCATGTTCAAGCTCTTGTAGTCTACACGTTTTAAAACTCGATCTCAACATGTGTATCGGGCAATATACGATTGTTCTTTCGATCACTTGTCGTTCCTTCGTAGACCCGCACGGCATGTAGCTAATATATTCGTCTCGTATGGCATCCAGATTTGGGTTCGTGCAGGCAAAATCGGAATTCCCTTTGCAGATAGGGTTCGTGCGTGTGAACAATAGACATTCTTTCCCTTCACGCCCAGGAATCTCTTTCTTCGGCACACGTGCAACATTTTTCCCCCGAAGAGGGTGTTCAATTTCTTGTTTGATATAGAACCACATAAGAATCTCTTGCAGTCAGTGCACGGCTGAACTCGGCGAAAGAGACATTCATCCTTGTGGTGCTGTGATTTGCCCAATCCTGGGAATGGAAACTTTTGCTTTACAGTCAACGTGGTCTAGTGAAGGCGCACTAGTACTGGAGGGTGGAGGTTTCGAAAAGTTTTTATTTTTTAATCATATTCTGTATTACAGAAAATGACACAAACGAGAACATGCGCCTAAAAGCTGACCGTTTTCCTCTCTCCATCTTCCAAGTAGAATAAGAATAATTGTAAATCGCGAGAAGGTATTTTCTCACGAATGGAACAGACTCGGCGTTTTTAAATTCCTACTCCATCTCACAGTTCCTCCCGTGAATTCTAGCTTCTCGTAACAGAAAGACAAATCTTTGCTTTGCTACCATGATTTCTTTACTACCCTAACCCTGAATCACCTTTCCTTTTGTTTTCCATAGCCCAACTTTTGATGCAGAAGATGATGTCACCGAAAGACTGAAAATCCCATAAAATTCATTAACCATGAAAGGGGAGAAAAATACTCTCTGGAATGAAAATCCATGAAGCTCTCATAGAGCTTAATAGAGAGAGAGAGAGAGAGAGAGAGAGAGAGGGAGGGAGAGGCGAGCATCCATCATCATGCATGGCCATATGAGCTATATGACTCTGAAAGCCTTTCTCTTCGCATGGCAGCATCGGGATACGAGGCGGCTTAATTTTGTTACCTAAAAAGGCCTGTTCGTCGATAGGCCTTTTCCCTGCGGATTAGTGCTGTCAAAGATAGGGGAGTAATGCATGTTTCACTTGTCAGATCAAGTCCCGTTATTCCACTGTTTCAGGGGCAATTGAAGTTTCCCGACATTTCACAAAGGCTGTCTACAAAATATTAACGAGCTCATACTCACCAATCATGTCCTGTTCGAGCACTCCATTTCTGGAGGACAAAGTAATGTACTGAAAGTGAGTCTCGAAGCCTGCAATAGCTGCGACTACTTTGAATTTAGTCCACATCATACTACCTGGTTCAATTTTGAAGTCAAAAGTTTTCCTTCGTATTTCTGCCTATTTCACTGGGCAGCATGATGTACTCGGACGCGTCAGGGAATTAAAGCCAAAATCTGCTATATGCAAGCCTACGAGTTACAGTTCTGCACGTGTGCCAGAGAATCCAGGAACAAAATAAATGAGACGAACCGACAAGTATCCCATACACGGAAGGCTGTTAGTGTCTCTAGGTCGAAGACACGAATGAATCTGGGCGGAGATTCACGAAGCCCTCTTAGCGCTACGATAATCATAGTGTGTATTTCAGATTTGCGTTTTCCAAAACGAATTTCCTATAAAGATCACTTGTAGCATTATCCCATCTCAGCGTATCTTAGCATTACGAGTTTCGTGAATCTCAGCACAGGTCATACGAGATGGAGTGAGTGATATCGTCACAGAATTAACTGGAGCATTTAGCCCAGGTGTAGAGCTGCCCATTCCACGGGTCACCATAGACACCACTTAATGACAAGGTGCACGACCCAAATATCATGAGCGAAGCTTAATTGGTTCTCAAGACGTTGACACAGAGAGAACTATGCAGTCATCACCCAAATTTAGGTTGCTATGGCAACTGCGAGCAGGCGGAATGAAAAGAAGAAATAAGAAAAGCAAGCAACAAACCGATCGCAATATCTGCCATTTTCCCATAGATCGCCTTTAGAACGGCAGATAATTATTGTCTTCCGTCGTAAAAATCGAGATACCCCTTTCAGCATGAATCGCGGAGAAATGTCCGCGGGTTCTCGCGCTGTAAGTACGAGATGTTAGTGTAGGGTGCCACTCGTCGATCGTGGCTCGATTGCACTCGATTCAGCCCTGCTATAGCGATTTCCACTTTGACTACTTGAAGGTTGCGTCTACAGGAATCGATACCGATGTTTGCATATTTCCCATGAATAATTTCTGCGAACTCCGATTTCTCATGATGCTATTTACTTTGCCTGCAAATTTGAAAGCTTTGCAGTCATTCCGACATCCGACGTAGTAGATTAATGGCATTAGGGGAGGAGATACAACCGCGAATTATCAATATTGAACAAATAATTTTTTCTCTCATAAACATTGCAAGAATGTTTACTTAAACGAAACGTCACTAAATTCAAACAGATGTCATGGAGTTATCGACAGTGATGACGCTGGAGGGAATGGACGCGTGCAACTTCACAGACATTGAAGATCCCTGCGGCATCACGTGGGACCTGACGATCGCTAACGAGACCGAATTCCCAAACACGAGCGCGAACGCGACGGAGCTACCGCCCGAGAACCAGTTCATCATGCCGGCGTGGGAGCAAGCGTTGTGGACCCTCCTCTTCGCCGGCATGGTCCTGGTGGCCGCCGGAGGGAACCTCATCGTCATCTGGATCGTCCTGGCCCACCGTCGCATGCGTACCGTCACCAACTACTTCATCGTGAACCTGGCCGTTGCCGACACCATCGTCTCCACCCTCAACGTCATCTTCAGTTTCGTCTACATGCTCAACAGTCACTGGCCCTTCGGCTGGACCTACTGCAAGATCTGTCAGTTCGTGGCGGTCCTTAGCGTGGCAGGCAGTGTTTTCACCCTCGTCGCCATCGCCTTGGACAGGTCAGTCGAGAACTTCCTCTTTTTTCGAGCTGTCGGAACTCGACTTCGTGCACCCTTATGCGAGCGTCATACATCATCTGTCGATAGAGAGCTATTAGATAAAAAGGAACGCCGAATGGATCGAGAGGACTTTTCATCGATCATCTCTGTTGCTGTGCGTCGTTGCGAAGCCCGTTGCGAACCCCGGCGCTCATCTTACTCTTGCTTCTCCATTGAGTGACATAACTCAATAAATTCTTTCACCCATAGGCCCGTGATACACGATTCACCAGCACGTAATCTACTCGTCTCATGTAGGCATGTGGCAGACCGACATTATTCTGAACCGCATGGAATCATAGCATATCATAGCATAAACGAAGGCTCAAGAGCTTTAAACCTCAGATACTAAGTCAGCGAGCGTTCGACTATCGCACCGCAACCCAATAATACGGATACATGGGGAAACTGTATCCTGACAAAGAGGAATGTTACAGCGTTAATGTATAGAATCGGAGATATTCGGCCTTAAGTTCGCTGAAAGAATAGCCAACACTGCTGCTGTTCAGTTAGCAAATTTGCACATGTGTTTCTTCAAGTTTAACTTGAATCACGACAGGAAGTTCAACTATCTTATTACATATGAGTGGATTTTCTGATGAGCTCATCCACTTCTCTTGCAACTTTTTAGACCCCCCCAGTGACTGAACGGTAACGTACATTCATAAGAATATGACGTTCGATGCTTTCATCCCCCCCCCTTCCTCCCTGCTGAATTTGTATCCAAGTCGATGCCTCCCGGTCTTGTACCGGGAATAAACGATTCAACTGACGTCATTGCTTCCCAACATAATCTTCCTAATGCTTGAGACGTGTTGTGTAACGCCTCTCGAGGGACCAGAAGATATGGCAATGACAATCATGTTCCCATTATTCCCTAGGGACACTTATGAGACATTTCCTGGCCCTCGACTTTCATCCATCAAAAACCGAGTCAAGGTGACGAGATTTTGGAGACAAGTATATGATAAGATCAGCCTCAAGTGTAGGGTACATGAAAAAGAGTAGAGATTCAATCCAAGAGCTTGCAAGAGCTCCAAGAGTGCGCTTTTCCAATTTCGGGGGCGGATGGTGAAACCTCCGTAAGGCGAGATAGAGGAGCCTTTTTCTCCTATGGGGGGAAAAAAGTGCTCTTCTCCCCCCCCCCCCCCCCCCCCCCCATAGGAGTCTGTGTGTTCTTAAAGGATGGGGGGGAAAAAAGGGCTCTTCCCCCCCCCCCCCCCCCTCCCCCATAGGAGTCTGTGTGTTCTTAAAGGACCATTAACTCGAAGAGGTGTCAATATTCGGGCCTTAATCTGACACGAGATCAACTCGGGAGGCGGTACCTATTCACGGTCAACTTCGATTCCTCACATCTTCCTACCTATTACTCATTTGCCATTTCTAGTTCTTTTAATAACAGGCGACAGATCTCAACAGTCAAATTTCACATCCTTGCAACAACCAGGGAAAGGGAAAAACGTTTTCCTACTTTTCAATCAGCAAATCGAGCCTTCCAAAATGATGGCATGGATGAGAGTAAGGTTCCCAGAAATGAATAAGGACGGACATCCAGAAGGAAGTATGGGCAGATCCTGTTCTATGCAAATTGCATGAATCACACTCAATCCGCGTATTTTATTCAATTGGGAGAGTGGCATCTTCATATTTAACCTATCACAACATCTGGCAAGGATGACATGGTATGAAGCTTTAATCCTTTAAAAGCAAGCTCGCTATAGAGAACGCCCTTGGCAATAAAACCTCCCATATCAGCGGGCAACTCCCAAGCCGTTCTTGGAAAACTTCATCTCGATCTGGCTCAAGGGTAAACGCGGATTACGGAGCAAAATGCAGTGGATTTGACTCGTTGGATCCAAACAAGCGAAGCATAAAATATAAATGCACTCCTTCCCCGAAACGTCTGTGCTCAAATGAGCCATAAGGTCGAAGCAGTAAATCGGCAGGATGGGAAGGGAAGGGATCCAAGAAACCCTCAAGAGGCCAAACGAGGAGGAAAAAAAGGAGGGTTGGGCAGGAAAGGAATAGGGGGAAGAGGGATGAAAAATGCGAGCAGAATCCCGGGCCCCTGATTGCGCGCTCTTTCTCGCCTCCAAGAGAACATTCGTCTATATTACGACTTGAGGGATCCTGTTGTCGCTTCTTTCATGTCTCAGATATTGTCCCCTGGCACACATGCCTTCTCATAAATTGGTCAGGCACCGATGCTGGTTCCCAAGACCCAAGAGGTTTGGCGTCATGCGTGGGTTTGCTGTGTTCATCCTCGCATGGTTGCCTCTTACAAAGGTTTCAGTACGAGAGAAATTCGGACGGTATTTCCCATATAATCGAAGAGTAAATTTCAGGCAATTACCTTTAATCCTCATGCCTGTCACGTAAGTACGTAGAGAACAAGTGATGCAAGCCCTTCTCTTTAAGAAGCACTAAACGCTAACTAAGCCAAAGAAATGTAAACCATGACGTTAACTCGATTTTTTAATTACAGTTTTTAAACCGTTTGTGCCTGTCGAATATCCAGTCAGCAGAAGCATCTGCTCCAAAAGCAGCGGCAGCAAACATCATACTACAAGTTTCTTTGGCGAACTTCCCCGATTTCACTTTTATTTGTTGTATATGCAGTAATTTCACTGTATTTCTAATTCGGTGTTCACCAGATACCTCACTTACACCAATCACGTCAAAAAGTTCATTTAATTATTTAATATACATAAAATTAAAACCAATAGGCCGGAAAATTTTCCTTTACACTCCCAAGACCCACCCAAGAAGACTGCGAGTAGTGACTTCATGTCAAAGAATAAAGAAGTAACAGAACCAGTCCCAAAACAAATTGATCACCCCTTGCATCAATATCGCTCCGTTTGCACATATACACCCGATCCTCCGCATATCAATTATTAATTTATCCACTAGGGACACTGAAACTTAGATGACACCGTTGACTTCATATACTTCCGAGGAAGTCCAGACTGATATACAAGGTATATCGTAAAGGTTCCAGGACTGATTTTTTTTTTAAATCGGGAGCTATTCATGTAATTTCTTTTATGTATGCGTGAAGTAGACTCAATTCCCAGATTCCATGCAAGTTCTGACACATTCATTCCTGTCACGGCACGCGCAGCACGCTTCCCCTTTGATGTCTGCAGGCCGGCTTGTCTTAGTCAGCCTTAGTCAGGTGAGGGGCCGTCTTGTTTTTTGGTCTTGGTTTTTGACAGTTTTTGGCCGAAAACAAGTCAGTCTTGCCTCATGCACCGTATCAGCCTGATTTGTCACCACCGGACTGTTTTCTGTTCCCACGGCTCAAAAGAGCCAATGAAAGGCCATCGCTATGCGGACATTCCACACATTCAAGCAGCTGTGACAGAGTTGATGAACAATATTCCCGAAAATGACTTCCAAAGTTGCTTCAACAACCTTCAGAGACGCTGGCAACAGTGTACTGATGCAGAGGAAGATTACTTTGAAGGGGGAAAACGCCATTAGTTTGTCAAGTACCTTCCATTATTTTTATAACATCAGTCCTGGAACTTTTGCGACATACCTTTTATATCAATAACAATTTTTGTTAGGCTATATTTGCAGGTCACAATGCTGTGTGCCGATTAACTCATAACTTTGGTTTCGATCTTAATTGAGTCTAAACTTTTTCCAGCGAGGTGACTCGTACATATAACACATTGAATAACATTGATCTGGAACTCGTGATTAACACGAATAATGCTCGTGATTCGATTGACACGATAAATGCAGGTAAGTCGAATACAAGTGCTGTGAGTTCATGTGCCCCCCTCCTGGTCCGGCTGCCTTCAGTAGATTTCCGCAAGAAGCCTCACGTGTTGAAAATAAGAAATAAACCTAACGAAGCGTTCAATGTCATTCATATTGGTGACGATTACGCGCGAAATGGTTGAAAGCAAGCTAAAAGGGGGAAAAGCTTGTGCAGGATACTACAGTAAGTGCTTTTGGGACTCCAAATTACATCAGATCGAGTTTCCATCCCGCATTGAAAGTTTCCATTGAACTCAGGGGAAAACGAAAAGCTTTTTGGGAAATTTGCACTATAATTCATCTGGAAAAGGAATATGTGCTGGATGAAACGAACGGAAAAGAAAGAAGTTAAGCGAGGAGGAGAGGAAGGAATCCCCTCTTTTTTTGTCTTGATGAATTTCGAGAGATAGCATCCGGATCACGTAGGCCGGGGTTCATCGTGTGCGGCCTGAGGAGATTGCCTCAATGGCTAGACGGAGAAGGTTTTCTCCTCCCTCATAACTGTCCTAAGCTTTTCTCCTGCTTCCTTCCGAATCTTCCAGGACGGATGAGATTCATAAGCATGTAAACTTCGACTGGATGGGGCATGCTGGTTGACTATAAATAACTAGCGAGAAAAGGATCCCACAGGAATTCAAGTGAAATACATGCATGAAAATATCTTTTTCTGGAACCGCTACGTTGCAAAACATTTAACACCAATGTAACAGCTACAGTTGTGTTAGACTAGGATGCTGACAGAGTAACAATGCCAAAGTTCCGTCAGATCGCAAAACTAATGGAGGAACAAGTACAGAGTATAGACGGAAATCGAAACTTCGATCTGGGAAACACAGACATAGCATGCCATTATTTACATGAAGAATGCTGTATATTCGAAAGGCAGACATCAAGGATGGTTGTCCAGAGAGCCATGCCTCTTTCAGAGTTTCTTTATATTTTCCCGAAATACTGCTACACAGAATATGTAATACTTAATTTAACGATCTTCGACTACCGATATATTCGAGATACTTCTTAAGAGGAAGTGCCCAAGGAATGAAAATAATTTTAAAATAACAAGAAAGAATATTTAGACTGTGCGCCACCACCCTCAGCTGTGACTGTATAACGACTCCATATCTATCGGATCGGCTGTTGGGCACAGCATCGGGGGATATATTTATTCCACTTCTTTTTAGTCTGCCACT